TCATATTTTTAAATTTTGAAAAAGAAAAAAGAATTACGAAGAGTCGGAATAGTTTCATAAATGTACCCACTACAATCTTGCGACCTTTACTGGCACTCATTGCAGTCGCTCGCCTCATATTATGGCAAACCTAATTTTGGTTTCTGTTATCGATTTGATAAATATTACAACCAAATCATTGTGTAACAGGAACCGAATAATTCACAAGTGATGAAAAAAATAAAAAATAAAAATGTATCGCTTTTAGCGTTTTGAACATACAGTTGAACTAATCCAGTGAAGAAATCAAATGTAACTGGATTTCAAACACGTGAATCTAGCAATTCCAAAGCTGTGTAAATGCAAAGCTAATATAAAAATTTTCAGTATCAAAAGTAAATTCGGCAACTGTTCAAGAAAAATGACTTTGTCAAACCTTCAGAATCGTACACTAAAGAAAGATATAAATCAAATTTCGATAATTTCCAAAAAAATTAAAAGTTTAGGATTTATGTTATGACCTTCTCCGCTGAGCGCTGCGCTATTGGATTAATCAAAGGATCGTAATAAAATGCTGGCAAATCTGGATCCTCTGTTTTGATGAAAACGACGGAAGGTGTGTGATACCTAAAAAAAAGAAAAAGTTGTGATAGTAGATACATGCCAGTTTTTCTTTTATATTTTGATCACGCCTTCCAGCTTTTACAAGCAATAGCCAATTCACCGGTTAATTACTTGTTAACGAATCTCAATTTCTCTAAAAAATAAAACATACCAAGATACCTGCACCGGCAAACTGTTTATGAGATTATTATACATAAATGGAAAAGCAATACGATATTCGGTACGAATGGGAGCTCTAATAATCACTTTGTTTATGTCGTTGAACTCATTCCAATCTTCATCGCTATAAAATGAAACCATTATTATGCACATTTTAAAATTACCTAGCGTAAATTCGATTATCTTTAGAGTTCTTTGCCCTTAAAAGAAAGAAAATAAAAAAGTTGTAACAAAAAAAAAAAAAAAAAAAAACAGCTAAAACACTTACAGTGCATTAAGATCCTTAACCAATGGTTCAAATTTTGGTCCACCAGGAATTGCGACATTTAAAGCTTTGGCCGTGAAAAAGGATTTCAAATCAAACAAATAAAAGTAGTTATCATCCACAAGATCTGTCAATAACTGATTGGCGAGACGATATAGTGTAGCCATCATAGGTATACTGAACGCCCAACGTCGATACGTTGTCCCATTAACAAATCTGAACAAAAACAACTTCATCATGAAATTCACCAAAAGAACTCTGTACAAATTAAATGAAAGAAAAAGAAACAGATTTGTCGCGTTTAACTTCACATCTTGTGCTAATTTTCTTACAAATTCGGCGTGATCGAAGATAAATTCAAACCTAGTTGTAGATAATGGTTTGTGGTCATAAAACCACTCGGCAACAGTTTTATCTTCATCCTGGTCAAGTTCCATTTGAATTGGCTCTAAAGGTTCCACATCTAGGATGTTATCTGCGTAGTCTAACGGTGGTTCTTCATCATCAAATGGCGGAAAACGCATACGCTGTAATTAGAAAAATATAAACTGCGTATTCAATTTATTTCATTTAATCAAAATATTTAAGTAAGCTGACACGTTTTTGAATCTACAATGATTTTAATTTTTTAGCTGCTGTATTGGGACAAAAATTAACTGACTCCTTTTATTTTTCAAAACTATTTTGCAAAACAATTATTCACAAAGTGAAAAGCACGAATTACCTTGAAATGTCTTCGGTCCCTCTTTTCTCGCCTCATCATTATCCACATTGTACCCCACTGCGCCATATATACAGGTTCAATCACACGAGGAATTTCATTCACAAATGTTATTGCACCCGTTATATGATAAAGCACCTGGACAAATGTTTCATAATCATATTTATAGATAATCAACAAACATGAGAAACACGGTTATACCATCTAAACTGTCCCATTTCCACTTTTCTAAACGTAATCATCCAGGATAAAAGTTTTGCGCTTTTTTTTTCTTTTTATCGCAATTTAAGCCATCTAAAAACTCGCGGAACTTTGGATTGAAATATATTTCCATTCCCAAATGATGATTTGGCAAGGCTAAAAATTCGATAATTAAAAAGAAAAATTACTTTAACATCACGAATTTGCTCCCACGGCATTGGCATGTTTTCAAGAAGTTTCAAGACTGCGTGGGGCATATATTTCAAAGCTCCCAAATAAACCCGTTTATCATGTCGATATTTCCGTGACGTCATGTCACCATGATCACGGATAATTTTCCGAACATGCTCTGAAAGTATTGCTGTTGGGAGTCAATCCTAAAATGGGAATATACTTCCTGAATCTCAACAGAGTCAACATCGACATATCTTTTCTATAGAAGTTTTGAATTTTTTGACTGTGAGTACGCCGACATTGTTTATACAAAACCTCACACTACATCATGATAAACTTTATAATCACACCTGGTGGCATGTCTTCCTTTTGCGAATCGACAAAGCCAAATTTTCGTTTTTCCGCATAACGTTTCGATTGTAATTGCTTCCATTTCCGTGCTTTTTCTTCTAAAATATTTTCAGGAAGCATTTGTGGCGGTACAGCATGATGACCTCCGGCCTGTGGTTGTGTGGGTAGTTGGAAAAAGGTTCCAGACTGTGCTGTGACATTACTAAATGGCGTCGACACTGGCAATGACATTCTCGTATTATCAAAGAATGAGGTCTTTAGTAGTTGAAATCTTTCAAGGGACCTGAAATATTACGCTGCATCATAGCATGTAAAACATCATAGCATGTAAAACTATTGATTGTTTTACATAGTAAAACTATGTAAAACAATCAACCGTCCAAAAATTCTCTGTTCAAATTGTTCATGGGATTCTTTATCAACATGGGATCTGTTAAAATCAAATTTACAATCCCTTCTTCGCAATGCAAACGATCTGTACCAATATGCTTAAACTTGTTTTCAGATGTACGAAGAAACTCATTAACACACTTCTCTAACTTTAAAAAATAAAAGCTTAGCTTATAATACATGCAACTTGCTAGCAATTACTCAATTCACTGAGTACGAACTTCGACGTTTAACGATTGATAACACCAACTTATACCATAATTTTCGCAGTCTCCGGTTACTAAGAAACTAGTAGTGGCTGACAGCATGACGTACCCCCCAGCGCATACCCTATCCCTTCCCATACCTCCACAATCCCACGCACCTGCACCATACTTTTGGGCAGTATACCAAGAATAAATCACAGTACTCAACATACTTTTTCAAGAATCATGTTTTCTGCAATAGCATTGTGTGCAAGTAAAATGATTTAAAAAAATATGATTTGACATTAGCAATGCAAAAAGTGCTAGAGTTGTGTAGTGTGGAAAGAGAGAAAACATTCTAAAAATTACTTTATATTATTTATGAGGCCTGATGCAATGATAATAGCATGCTTTCTAAGCACTTAAAAAGTAAGGATGACCCTGTTCCGTCCGAGTTCAATGATGTCCACTTTGTAAGCACTCATGTCTCATTGTCTTCATCTTGTTTGTTAAACTTTAAAAAGTTTAACAAATTTCGAAGTTGGAGAAAATCCCTCAAGTTAAATTGAACCCCTCTAGTTACTTCATTTTGACACCATTCTCCTATCACCCAGTAATTAATGCCATGTACATGTTTTTCTCTGCTTATTTCTTTGAAAGGCAGAATTGCAATTCGTTTCACTATGTTATATTACGTTTCAATTTTGATATATTTGTACGAATCAGGTGAGCTTTTATATCATCTAATTTATGTATAAACTTAAGCAATAAAATAATAATCCTTACATTGTATATAGTCAGCTTGCATATTATTTAACAAGCAGTGCAAGGTTGCCTGTAGTACATTAAGGATAATTATTATACTAGTGATTTTAATTAGTTTACAGTTTGGTTAAAGCATAATCCTTTAATCATTTTATCAATCATTTTTACATTTCAGAAGTTCAACTAGTAAGCTATCCAGTTGCCATAAATCAAAAAAGCTGCTTGCTGATGAAGTTTAATAAATCGAAGATCAGTAGCCTAAAAATTGACATGTAATGACCATTAATGAACTACACAACTTATTTATTTCTAAATACTGCTGTCTCTTTGACATCCATAAAAAAATAAAGTTATTGAAGCAAAGTAAATACATAAATAAACTAGCCAGAAAACGATAAAATATATGCTGAACAAAACTTGTTGACGATAGATACAATTTTATTGAGAATGGAAGAATTCCAAGTTATTTACAACAAAGATCTGATGCAATGACGGTTACCAAAAAATTAGATATGGTCTTGAACCGAAATCAGAAATACTGATAACTTATAAATTCATCGGTACCCAATTTTTTCTTTTTTTGTTGTATAAAATCAGTAAGATATGTTATAAAGCATCGTTTTCTCAACCTCCTATAGAGAATGAAATTCAAAACCTTTCACCTCGCTAGTTGACTCAATTCTTGCCTTTTCACTTTTAACATTTAACAGTTTTAAAAATAAAATAAAGTAACTTATGGTCTGACCAGCAGTGTTCATGAAGATGATTTCAAATATTAACAGAAGAAACAAGAACAGATGCTGTCAGTCCAAGAAAGCGAAAAATGATAAGAGATATAATCTCAACGTGATTAATGCTGAATAGCAAACGACAACTGTTTATGGTTCAATTAGAAACGATTATGGCACAAAACAAAAGCAGTGAACACAACGGATATTAAACACTTTCTTTTGCCAAAAGTTTAGAAAACTTGGCTTTTAGAATTTTTAGAAAATAATTTAAAACAATAGCCAACTTCCTAAAATTCAGCAATTTATTCGCAAATCAAATAAATTCCGCTTATCTTCAAATCAAAAAATTTACGATGTATTCCTTTAGCTCTGATCAATTTCGCGAATACAGAAATGAAAATAATAAGAGCAAAACAATGAAAATAGATGTATAATAGGAAAGTAAAAAACAACTGTCAATCATTTCTACTTTTCGGTTTTTCTTCTTCGAGCACTCTCTCTCTGAATTTAGCCATTTGGTAGTGCGATATTTTCCGGATCATCAGGAAGCCAGCAATAATCTAAAGTCCAATCATTTAAAACCTTGTAAAAATTGTGTAGGTCGTTGCTCCTCCTTTCTATCAACAATTTTCTCGATATCTTTTTCAGTACCCCTACAATTGAATAATTGGTACCGAATGAAAGGGCAAAATTGATAAAAGTACCTCTATCAATAAAAAAACGCCATGGTAGAGACACAAAATTCTCTCTAAAGGTAGTGGAATATTAATATTTAAAACAGAAAATGCTGCAATCGGTACTTGCAAAATTACACTTGTTACCCAGAAACCGGATAGAGCGGATATCTGAAATGACGACAAAACTTTTAATTCATACTTCAGCTTCAGCTCATTTCTTGTTGGTTAATTTTAAGTTATATGTGATAGACAAATAATTTGATATTCCTGACCTAGCATACCGTACTTTAAAGTTTTATATTCAATGATCTCTTCCATAAAAGTTTGACAGCAAGCTTGCATTGAAGGTAGTTCGGAAAAGAGAAATCAAATGTTATGCAAATTATACAAGTTTCTGCAGAATTTAAAATAATTCGCATACTATACTCACCTTTTCATTCAAATTGCCGTAGTACCCAAGAAATAACCGAATAAACTCAACTAAAATTGTTATGAAAAATAAAGTCAACAGTATAACCACATGAGTGATAGACAAATAATCCATCTGTAATACATTCATAATATAGTCATGAAAAGTTGTGACTGTACTTTTGAACCAGTCTGGTTACTCATTTTTTGCTAACAAGCATGCATACTATTAGGACCATAGTAATAACAAATTATGAAATAACTTTGGAATGATTTTATCAATTTATACTTCAATCTCGCTTCCATTTTTGATGATACAAATAGCGAGAAACTATCTGATTTATGGTCTTTTATCGAATACAGTTTTGAGTTTTGCGCCTTTTACTTTAATCTTTATAATAAATTCGTCATTTTTCACTGATGAATGGATATTACGAAGAAAATTGCGCTTTTACTATATCAAATGTCAGCATATAACTTCAATGTTTCACAACCGCCTTATACCTTTATCACACAATCAAAACAATAGTTTGGTAGTAAAAATTAACAACATAACAGAGATTTATTCAACAATAAATTAGTTAGTTTCTGTAAGTTTTGTATCATTATTTTACATTTGCTTGGGAGCAAGCAACTCTTCCGTAAATAAAAAAAGATCTTTTTGTAAAGAAATCTTGCAAAAAAAAAAAAAAAGAAAACGAATATGATGGCTAGAAATAAAGGATCTGAGATCTTAAAAAAAATATTAAAAAAAAATTTAGCAGCAAAATTTAATATCATAACAAAAAGACTTATTTAATAGTAAATTAAATTTTGTTACCTTACTGATAAGGCCAACAATCAACCCAGTGGCCCAAAATGGGGCCAAGCAAACGTTATAATGAAGAGTAATTTGTAACGGTAAATTTGATAAAATTTCTGAAAGTTAAACCTTTTCACTGTTTGCAAAAATTGGTTACTAAAAATATCTGTTAAAGATATTACATATGTACCATTTATACCTTACCAACTTCTGCTTGTTCTCCAAGTTTTTCCACCGCTCTCATCTGTGTTTTAATTCCTGTAAAATCTGAGAATTTCTCTCGAAACTGCGAAAGTTGTCTATCTTGAATTCATTAGACCGTACACGTTATTAGACATAAACAAATTAACTTAAAAATAAACCAACTTTTACTGTTTAAGAAGTTCGCTAATGGTAATTCTCTCTGATTCAAACAAAAAAGAAAATATTTAACAGCTTACTTAATTTCCCCTTAAATTAAAGACTAGAAATAACTGAAAATAAGAACTACAAGGAGTGCCTACCCAAAGTTGCCATGGTGACATCAACGGTAGATTCTCACCTTCAACAACACGTCATCGAGAAACCATCACTTCATGAAAAATATTTGAAGACTAAATTTATGTAACTTGTACAACAAAATATGGAACTTGAAGAATTAGTTGATCATAAACGCAAGGTCCATCACATCACTAGAATCTCCCGAAGCCTGCACCTGCAGTCTACTCCGCAATCTTCTAGAAGATGACCTCCCAATACAACAGTTCTGTTCTCAATCTTCTGAGAAGTACCATCGATACATCCACTACTGCTACTGCTGTTGTCACTGTCGTTGTCGCCGTCACCATTATCATCACCCACTCCTTCAGCCGCACGAACAAACAAACACCACCAGCAACACAAACCATGCAAACGTATAGAACGGATCTAATTTTTTGGCTACTTGTCTCCTGTCCTGTCTTTAGTAATGATTGGTCTAAGAGAGGTGGCGAGTGGAATAACTGCAAAAGTAACGGGAGCTTTGTTAGAGAGAGACTAGAGATTGGTCTGTGTTGTCATCAAAAATAAACTTAGTTAAAAGGAAGTAGTCATGTCTGTGTGTTGTTTTCAGTTTATAGCGAATGAATACAGTGGAAGATCTCGGGAGTTATAAGCTTCAGCTTCAACAGGTCCGCTTATTATTTTTCTTCAATTTCATCCCGCATTTTTGCGAATTTATCTGGATGGGTAGTAATCTTCATTTGTTTACATATCTATAAAATTAGACCTTATCATTGTTTTGTGGTAGTTTGATTGTTACTGGAAGTTAGTGTTAGTAGTATAGACAAATCTGTTTAATTTCATTACTTGAAATTCCAGTTGTGATCGATCATGCAATGATTGTAGATTTTTTCAGGTGGAAGCAGCACTCCTAACTGAACCAGATAACGATGAGCTATCAAAGTTGAAAGTCGACTTGCAGGAAATTATTGCGCTTCAAGAAGAACTAACATCACCAATAGTCGAACAACCAACCAGTACGACTTCTGACGATGCTACTAAAAATCCTTGGAAGGTGAAGCTATTTTATTCTATATTTATTCTTGAAAATATAATTTTATTCTGATGTTTTACTTCTTTCAATATAATTAATTAGGCAAAGTAAAAGTCCTTTTTAATTGCTTTCGCGGAGGTACAATTTTAAAATATAAATAAAATAAATCGCATGAACTTTTTTGTTCTGACAGGTGGGAGATCAATGCATGGCTCCATCTTCAAATGGACAAAAATATTTAGCAGTAATTGATGGATTTGCACAAGATAATGTTGCCGTTACACTCGTCGGTAAACACTCAATTAAATAACAAAAACCTTTCAAAGCTTGTTATTTGTATTTATACATATACTAATATTTAAATTATATATATAAATATTTGACGTTTAGTGCTTGAAAAAGAGATGGAAGATTCATAATTAAAATAAACGTTTAATCTGTTGGTTTCTTTTTCCTATGTTGTGTGTGTGTGTGTGTGTGGATTTTGTCTAGTTTTTCTTCCTATTGGGATATAAGAATAGTAATTTTTTCTTGGTCATGCTTTCAGTAGAACAAGCAAATTTTTGCCTATGTTTGCTTTAGAAATGATAAAATAGTTATGGATAATGTTTTGTATTTAGGTAAAGGAACAAAAGCCATGGTTAACGTGAATAATTTAAGTGCAGTTCCGAAAGATGATGGGAAAATGTACGTTTGGGAAAAATCAACCAAAAGCATGCGTCATCGCAAAAGCGAATGGCAGGTGAAACACAGACATTAATTTTAATTAGAATTCATAAGTTTACATCAAAATATAATTTATTCATTTTAATAAACTATTGATTTAACAACAATAATGAAACCTCAGCGAGATATCCATGAGTGTGACATAATATAATTTAACTTCTCATCAATGGAAGTGTTTCACTAATTCAAATAGTACAGTTTTGGTTTTGCTTCTTTTTCTTGATTTTATTAGTTTATTTTGAAGAACTGTTCATTTACAGATGGAGCGTGAAAGACGGCGACTACGAGCACTCAAAAAAGAGCACCGAAAAAAGGAACTAGAAGAAGCAAAGGAAGATGAGAAGAGGAAGTGGCTTTCTTTTAATGCAAAAGCAGCAAGTCGAAGCATGAAAGTAACTTTGGAATTAATTTTTCTTAAATTTTGATGTGGTTGCAATGTCTTTTTCACTCGAATTTCCACAAGAAATATGAAGGGAATGAATAAAAGAGACAAAACAGAAAATAAACGTGTTTTAAATATGAATCAGAATAGATTGAAATTTTGTACTTAGTAAGCTACACAATTTTTTGCTCGAATAGTTTTTAAAATACATGTAGCAGATGGACTACGGGAATGAAATTTCGGCTTATTTTGTTTACATCGAACAAAATATCTTAGTCATATTTAATCATAGCTATATTTCTCTTAACAGTTATACGGACATTTTGAGCTATTAAGAATGACTATTTTAGGGATTTAAACGACCTACAGCATCGGGATCAGCTCCAGATGGACCAGCTTGGGGTATTACGTCACAGACGAGGATATCATCACGACAAGATCTCGGTGCCTTCAAATCAACGCAACGTGGAAATATGGATTCATTATTTTAATTTTCATATGTAAGGTACATTTTTGTTCGTGTTTTCTGTTTTTCATGTACTCTTGAAGGTAAATGGGTAGGACAATTGTTAAAGCAGTTTGCTTAAGAGAAGTAATGTATATGCTTAAAGAACAAAAGGACATTTTTTTAGAGAAAAGTTTTTTTTGCTTAAAGAACAAAAAGTTTTTTTTTTCCCTTTTTCTGATACTAGATAGCTTTTAATATAAAATATGAAATAGTTTGTGAGGTTAATGCTCAGTGCAGCAAAGCTGGTATTGTTTTATTGCTTGCTGATGCTGGATAAAAAATTTATTGTTTCTTACGCTTGACAATAGTTTTCTTCTGAAAAGGAGTGATGTAACAACTAATTCATTATGCGGCTATCTAATGTCTAGAGATAACAAATTCTCTTCATCTTAGTCGGTTCTTCCAGCTTTTTAGATATTTATTTACGATTTTCCGAATTGATTTCGTTTTAATTTTTAAATCATCTTTTTTTCATACAAATTTTTAAATCATATTTGTTCTTCTATATTTGTACTTCTGTTAAGTCTTCAATATTTGTACTTCTGTGAAGTCACCAAACTTTGTACCCAATGACGAAAAATACAAAAAAAATTCTGCACTGTGAAAATTGAAAAACAGTGATTTGCGCTGTAAATGGTAAGTTGTTTACACTTGACCAGCAGATGATATAAGCAAAGTGATTTATTTGCGGATTAGTTCCAAGTAAAAATACTTATGGTTTTTGTCAAATGACTATTATGTCATTTCGATATAATTCGTAGGTAAGTAGTGCAAGTAATTTTAGTATTATCTGAAACTATTAGGTTTGTGTATTTTTCGACAGAGTCAAAGCTGAATTTTCTAGAACATAGCTCCGACTCGTGTCATAAGAATAAAGTTTAGGAAAAAATGATAAGTAATTGAAAAACAGAAGATAGAAAATCAAACCTAACTTCGAGTGATTGTTTACTTGGCTCACAAATCTTGACAACACATTTTGCTTGTGCTTCACTAAGGGTTACGAATCAAGATTTTCTGGCTAGTTAAGTGGCTGACTCATTTGAGAATTTCAGATAAACTTACAATGAAAATAATTGATACTTGATGGATTTTGAAGTTTCCGAAGAGGTGTATTATGCAATTCAAATTTAGAAGTCAAGTTTCTTTCTCTCTCTCCCTGTCTTTACATATATATATGCTGACTTACATTCTCACTATCCATTCATGAATGTTTGATGTCTCACTGTCTTTTATTTATATATTTTTTTCTTTTTTCATATTAAGCTATTATAATTCTGTTTGCAGTTTTAATTAGATTTTTATCATATTTTTGCTTTTAAAGCTATTTTATTAGATAATGTATTTTTTGTTTGTACTGGAGCAACCGCTGTCATTTTGTTCGGATTATCAGCATTGCTATATCATTATTTTTTGATGTTCAAGTTATTATCGCTTTTTTAAACATTGTATACCATTATTATTAATAGCATCATCAGGAACGGATTTCTGTATCGCACAGACATTCCAAGACTGTTCTAAACTGCTTTGTCAGCATTAGTTAAGTTATACTTTTATGCGCTCATTCGTTTGAACTGTAAGTCGCATATATGTTTTAATCGTATATCATCATATGAATTCCTGAAAGGGAAATTCCAAAAAAAGAGCATTTTGGAAACAGAATGTTTTGGAATTGATCATGATTGAATTTAACTTCATTTATGCAACCTTTGGGTATTCTTCTTCTTTGCACCAAAATTTTTAAACTCTGAAATATTATTCCTGGGAAACACTTCTGTATGAAATGAGGGCAAACGCAAGGAAACAGATGTGGATATCATGAAAAATCATGAGAATTAAATATTTAGGTTACTTCATTGTGCACGTAATATATCATACTTTGTCACATATAAGTCAACATTCAGAGTTTGGGAATTGAAGTATTAAATCCACATTTCCTATAATGTACGGGGAAATATGGTGCTACTGTAAAGCTTCTTTCAAGACATCGGGAACTGGGTGTTTAGCTTGAAAATCCTACACTGAAGATTTGAGTACCTGTCGTACAATTTCAGTTGCACTTTCGTTTAAAAGTATTCTGGAAATAAACTAATAGAAAACTCAACAAGAATTATGTGT